AAAGTCTGTCTCAGTTCGTCAGCACCACAGGCGCTCCCCGTCCTTGTGATAGACTTGCCACGATGCTGACAGTGTGATACGAGGACGATAGTGGGTCCTGATATTGGTTTACTCTTAGCTGGCCTTCTTGGTGGAAACGTCGGGCTCATATTTGCAAAACTCCGGACGGCACGTGTATGCGGTGGGGGACGAACGCGCGCTATTGTCCTTACCAGGGAGTAGCGCACTTCACCACCACACCATCCGGGTCCTTCACTTTGCCTGTCTCTCAGCTAGTTTTATTGATCTTTTGCCGTCAGCAATCACCCGTCAACGGGAATGATTTGGAGAGCCCAAATCGGCAATGAACCCAGTTAAGCTGAAGCTTGGCAATAGTCACAACCTTAACCTTTTTATTTACTGCTTTTTTCTTTTTAATGGCAAGGTATGCTGCGAAATATAACTCGTATATAATGCTGAGATATTTGTAAATACAATTTCTGCGGTACGGAGTTTTGCAAATATCTCAGCATTATATACGTGCATGCATTGAGTTCAATATGAACGACGGATGGGGAAAGATCGTGTATAGTCTTAGATGTGCCAAGAGTCTTGAACCTTGAATCATTTATTGTATTATCTAGTTGTTTATTTCTTCAGTCGTTTTATTTCTGCGAAGTTTCAAATTCTAATTACGTCAAAGTTTAGTGTTAAGCGTGAGCTATTTTGTTTTAGCATATGCGGGTTTCGGTTTTGTTCACCGCCCGCCAAGGAAATACACACTGGGAAACATGCGACGTATGAAAGGTTTTTTCCACACCTTTGCCTGCCATGTTCTTTTTTCGTAATAAGCCACAAATGTGGCGCATTGTGGATTTTGAATGGACTCAAAAGATTTTTAGGCTGAACGGTGTGGAAGGTACCTGCTGCCCACTTTGTGGCACCCTGAACAACTGGAACATTCAGGCCAGTTTACTGTCCTCAGTTTTTTTTCCTACTCAAGTTGTGTTTTGTATAAGCGCTCCTGCAGAACGTCGTCACTTCAGGCTATGATGTCGTGACTCTCTCTCTTCTCTGCATTTTTGAAAACTCCTATCAGAAATATACTTTAAATCGAAATAACGCCCTAAAAAGTTATTTATGCCGTTGCTGCGGTAGTTCAACCAACGGTCGGTGCATAAATCTGCTGAGCTTGAAATTTTCCAAGCGCTTTAGTTGCTGAAAACTTGTCGTCAGTTATCGAGAAATCGATACAATCGCATCCTTATAGTTGGTTTTACAGTTTTCTGTGAATCTGATTTGTCTTATTTCCATCCGAACGGATTCTTATTGCCCATGTGTTGATGGAATCCAAATTCTAAAAGTTTTACTTCAATAAAGAATACCATAGTCAGCATCTTTTCTTAAAAATATGCATCTTTAGGTGCCTGGAACGTCGTACACTATAAGCCATCTTGCCGTTCATGGTTTACGTCGTTACGATATGTGCCGCGACTGCTTCCGTTGCTTTAAGAGAGATTTTGACGTAAGGATGTTAACAAATCACTGTTCTGTTAACGACAGGTGCAAGCAACAAGATTGGTTCGTCATCCAGTTAAAGTAACACATAAATGTGCTCTGCGTAGATCTGCGAATTAGTGTAAATTGCTTGATTGTGTTCACCCCATAGTTTCGTGTGAAATTTCAGTGTGTTCTCATGAAGGATCACTTCGAGACAACGCACTGTATTGCGTTACCGGAAGCAGAAAATCGAGATTTACTGTGCAAGACATGCAGCGAAGTGATACCAAAGTCGCATCTGGCCGAGCACGTCATCGAGAAACATAGGGTTTTTTTCCGATTTCTTCACTAGTCCTTAATGTTTGCGGTTAATTGTCGCCTTGTTGTAGAAATTACGGAGTGCATTCTTGACAAAGGCGATTTTCTGAAAGTTTTCTTTTCAGTATTTGCGCTGCTTCCAATCGTGTTCAAATTTATCGTGGTTCAGGTTACCTGTTTCGAATCAAGAGATCCAGAAAATAAGGGACAACTTATTGTGAAGACGGGTGCTGTTACTCGTCGTTTCCTCGGTTTCCGTGTAATCGAACACTTTGGTGATCACTCGGACATGGATTAATCGTCGCCTGCTTTCCTTTTGTACGTTTGTTTTTTCTTCACAATTTCTCATGAAATGAATTTGGTGTTCTTATTCTTGTTGTTTCATTTTCCTGTTTCCCCGGATACTTCATTTTGGTTGTTCTCACTTCATTTTTTGTTTTTTTTTTGTTCTCCACACAACGTCTTCGACGTTCGTGAGAACCCCAATCCACTGACTTCTTGCTCAACTCTGGTGCCTAGTCGTTCATCATGTTGATTTATCGACCTAGGTCGAGTGAAATGCAGCATCCAAGGATACTCATTCCGTTGGGCATGGATGGTGCATTCTTTTCCAATCCGTTCCACATGAACATCGTTTTTGTAACATTTACTCGAAGACTAATCTTTCCACAGGCTTTATGGAATTCGGCCAGCATTCCTTCCACCTGGCTAATAGAATGGTGCAATTACCGAGCATCGGATTTCATCATCCTGTTCATTTTCAATTTTCGCATAATGTTCTGGATGGTGGCAGGAAATAATTTTTGCCAAATGGCGCCGCTTTGCCTGACTCTTTTTTACATGTCGATGTTAGAATTGTTACGAAACGGCAGTACTTGGGTTGTAAAATTTTTTGTATATCCTAAATCTTCAGTCTTTCCCAAGGAACCTTTGTGCAATGAGTAGTGAGACGCTGGCCGTTCAGTGCTTCCATGACTGCTTCTTTCTCAACTGGGCAAAATTTTCTAAAATCGATGAAAGTGAGGCAAAGCGCCCTTTTGTGCTCTCGAGATACTTCGATGAGTCTTGTTTACGTGTGGATGTGCTCCATCCCACCAAATCGTTTTCGACATCCTGATTTCTCACATGCCTGTCGTTCACCCAGTGTAGCAAAAAAGACATAGCTGACAGAAACAAGCAAATTGGGCAGTAGTTGCCGATATCGTGAAGTTAACAATACTTGAACAATAACACAGATCTGCGGGTCTTACACAAGAGGGCGTAATTATAGAATGCATCCTTGTAGTAACCGTGAAGGATTTTCTCCACTTCATTTCTGGAAGCCGTAACCGTCCTGTCTCCGGGTCGCAACGGATTGCTTCCAAGGGAAATAACGCTCTAAAGGAATTCAGTTACGGTAAGAGAGGATAAAAAAGTTTCAAGTCGCAGCCGAAGCCTCATGCCAGCTCGAGCACCCTCGTGGATGACAAACAAAAAACGAATGGATAAAGTGTGGGGCCTAAACGGAACGTGAAGACGAGTCGCATAAGAATCTAACCAACGTGCGTGAAATTATGATTACAGTTAGAATTAAAATTGCAGTACGGATAGCACGATCCTTCCCGGCGACATTCCATTCAAGCATTGTATAAAATTGGGAACGAATTCTACATGTACCGACCTGTCGGTTAAATAAATTTAGCTACACTGAACACAGCCTGAACTATGAAGCCTTGGCAAGTTTATTTCTCCATTGTAAAGATCCACCTCGAAAATATAAATCCACACACATAAATTGTCATGCAAACGGTGATAATACAAATAAAGGAAGGATACAGAGAAAACCTTCTGAACACGAAGATGGGGTAGGCAGTTTCGTATATGGAAGGACCATAGGCTTAAAACTTATTTTCTTAAATTTGTTTTATGTGAAATAAAAAATGACCATGAAAGATCCTAAGTATATATCACAACAACTTCAGCACTGCAAAAAACCCACATACGCAAAAGAAATCACCATGTGCTACATGAGGATGTGTTTCACACCCCACCCGTAAAACATGATTGTCCACATTCCAAGTAAACAATCTGAAGTAAGACAACAAGATTAACTTAGTTTAAAAAAGTTAAGGTCAGTGCGAACAACCAATATGCAGCATTCCGGCAAACGGAAAAGAGAAAAGACCATAGTAAAAATCCCACTCATTTCATGAGAATTTGTGAAGAAAAAACAAACGTACAAAAGGAAAGCAGGCGACGATTAATCCATGTCCGAGTGATCACCAAAGTGTTCGATTACACGAAAACCGAGGAAACGACGAGTAACAGCACCCGTCTTCACAATAAGTTGTCCCTTATTTTCTGGATCTCTTGATTCGAAACAGGTAACCTGAACCACGATAAATTTGAACACGATTGGAAGCAGCGCAAATACTGAAAAGAAAACTTTCAGAAAATCGCCTTTGTCAAGAATGCACTCCGTAATTTCTACAACAAGGCGACAATTAACCGCAAACATTAAGGACTAGTGAAGAAATCGGAAAAAAACCCTATGTTTCTCGATGACGTGCTCGGCCAGATGCGACTTTGGTATCACTTCGCTGCATGTCTTGCACAGTAAATCTCGATTTTCTGCTTCCGGTAACGCAATACAGTGCGTTGTCTCGAAGTGATCCTTCATGAGAACACACTGAAATTTCACACGAAACTATGGGGTGAACACAATCAAGCAATTTACACTAATTCGCAGATCTACGCAGAGCACATTTATGTGTTACTTTAACTGGATGACGAACCAATCTTGTTGCTTGCACCTGTCGTTAACAGAACAGTGATTTGTTAACATCCTTACGTCAAAATCTCTCTTAAAGCAACGGAAGCAGTCGCGGCACATATCGTAACGACGTAAACCATGAACGGCAAGATGGCTTATAGTGTACGACGTTCCAGGCACCTAAAGATGCATATTTTTAAGAAAAGATGCTGACTATGGTATTCTTTATTGAAGTAAAACTTTTAGAATTTGGATTCCATCAACACATGGGCAATAAGAATCCGATCGGATGGAAATAAGACAAATCAGATTCACAGAAAACTGTAAAACCAACTATAAGGATGCGATTGTATCGATTTCTCGATAACTGACGACAAGTTTTCAGCAACTAAAGCGCTTGGAAAATTTCAAGCTCAGCAAATCTATGCACCGACCGTTGGTCCAAGTACCGCTGCAGTGGTATAAATAAGTTTTTAGAAGGCTGTTTTAATTCAAAATGTGTTCCAGATACGAGTTTTCTAAAACGCAGAAACCAGACACTTACGACATTATAGCCTTAGCTGACGACATTCCACGGGAGCGCTTGTACGAAAACAACATCAGTAGGAAAAAAACTGAGGGGGTAAACTGCCCTGAATCATCTAGTCAGAATCACTGGTTCAATGTGCCACAAAGTGGACAAGAAGCAAGTTCCACACGGTTAACACTGAAAACATTTTTACTCCATTCAACGTCGACATAGCACCACATTTGCGGCTTATTAAATGAAAAGAATACGGCAAACAAAAAAAACAGGTAAAACTTCCATCCGTTGCATGCTTCCAGTCGTGTTCTGCCTTAGCTAACGGTGAACAAAGCCGAGACGTGCATGCGCTAAAGCAAAATAACTGCCGTCTACCGTTAAACTATAAGACAAATAGAATTTCAAAATTTCCAGAGATGGCTGAAACGACTGAAGAAACAAATAATTGGATAATAAAATAAATGCTTCAATGTGCGAGATTCTCGGCACATCCAAGACTACATATAATCTTTCCCCATTTGTCGTTCATATTGAATTCAATGCATACAGCCCATCGTGCCAATTTAAGACGATAATGCATCCCACTCCACATCCCCAATTTTTATGTTTTTTTTTACATTGTTCAGCTATTCCATGCTTTCTTGTCACTTATTTCAATACATTTTGCCCTTCTCTTTTGAATACAAAGTGCCCTCTACATCACTGCATCCTTTACGAAAATTTTCATTTCACATGTAGAGTGAGAAAATCTCGTCCACAATGCATCCATGCCTAAGTAAGACGGAGTGAAAAATTTCCTATATTGTAAAAGCCTTATAACGGTTAATCGACTTATTATATCTGGATATCTGGAAGCTTTTCCTTGCTGCGATGGATAGCGGTGGGATTCATCCCCTCAGCAGGGCGCCCAGGGTTAGAACGAGCCCGACGTTTCCACCAAGAAGCCCAGCTAAGAGTAAACCAATATCAGGACCCACTATCGTCCTTGTATCACACTGTCAGCATCGTGGCAAGTCTATCACAAGGACGGGGAGCGCCTGTGGTGCTGACGAACTGAGACAGACTTTGGCCTGGCTGACCTCGAGACTTCAGGAAACCGAGATGTTTAAACCTGCAAAACTCTGAGAAAGTGGAAATTATGCCGGAATCTGCGCAATCAATGACGAAGGGTCATTCAGGAAGCCAAGCAACCGAGTAATACTGTCAAAGATGCACTATGTTGAATTGATGAGCGTCTGAATTGCGTCGGGTGACCAAACGCGCACAAAAGGTGGATCACTAAGAGATCTGCAATTCATGTCCTTCCATATGGCAGAGTCCCACTAGCCTTCTGTGGAAACCTTTAGAGAACAGTGAAAATAAAGCGCTCATACGAAAACTGTTAAGCTCTTTACGATCCGAAGCGAAGAAATGCCATAGTGCAGCTAATGTGACAGAAAAAATGGAGATTACTACAGTTGTCGTTCGGGCCACTTGACAATTAAAAACGAATACGGACGATACACGTGATACATTCAGGATCTTCAAAGTCGAAATAAAAAGCAAATATGACAACTAAATGGAGTAAATGCAAAAGCCCAATCAAAAAATAAAACGTTTCAGTGCACATAAATGGGTGTCCAAGTACTCTTCGTACTGGGAACTGCAACAATTCCAAACGGGTGTCCAAAGACTCACGTCGAAGAAGATGTCGTCGCCGCTCTGTGCATCTTATTAAGATGAAGTCGAAGACCTTTTGGCGTGCTTAGTAACTGACGACATTCGTCAAATGGACAACGAAGTTGATAATGAATTGGTCGAAACAATATTCCTAAAACAAATTTGCTCCACGCTCACAACTAAAAATGGAAACGTAACAAATACCTCTCGCAGTAGCTTCCTGTTCAGCGGTTTTCACATGTACACTGAAATAGTGTTTCACTGCCTCTACTTCGTCCACTTGCGGCGCAGCACAGTCAAGGCAGAACCATTTCTGGAATTAAAGCGCGCAGCTGAAGACACCAATAACGTGTTATAGAATTATTAAGTAAGGCACTACAAACCATTCTGTTAGTATGCAACTCATGCAGCGACCGAATTTGAGGTGTTGCCATTGATTCTTGACATATCTGTAATGGCCTTTTAGCAAAGGAACAAGAACAAGACCTAAACAAGTACAATGGAGTGAGAATATGCCTCGCATCCTAAATCACTTCTGGATGCAGGTTGGTGTTCTACCACCGCACTAGGTACCGGCATGGGTGGCCGCTTAGCATCTGATGGATCAGGTTCGTCGTCACTCAACGGTATTATATCGGAGCAAATCGCCGCTGTACGACGCTAAACACATTTAAGTCGATTAGAAAAAGAACTGGAATTGAAGAAATTATTGAAAAGAAGCACAAGAAACCTTGAGAACTCACTTTGAGTAGAGCTGTTCCACTTTCATGCGCCAGTGCTGATACTGCTGCAATGTGATGAGAATTAGTGAATGAATGTTGATGGGATTGCCACGACGAAGAGCAAGAAGAATTTGACGCATTCCTCACACCATTAGTAAAGTCGCCAACACTACCAGGAACATTCGTTGATATCGATCTTGGTGCGATGACACGACCAAAAGCCTGAATTAAAAAAAGCAGTGACGCGCTATCGGCTTGCTGAAATCTTTTGCAACATTGCTGGAAAAGCACATTTCGGATCATTTCTAGGGAATAGA